ACCTGACTGACAGGTAAAGGAAGGCTGGAAAACCAGCAGTGCTCGGACCTCGAGGACCGTGAGTTGAATAACCCTGCTGTAGATGTTCACCAGCCAACCTTTTGCCACGTGGCCTTCGACCTTTGAAGGGTCATTAAACTCGATGTACTCATTCTTGTAGGAGATGACCGCGTGCCACTGGACTCCCCCCTTCAGTTTTCGAAGCTTCAGCTCCAGCGGGCAGCGTGTCACGATACCTGGAGGACAGAGGACATCACAGTCAGCTCCCTCTTCGTGGTCCTCTGTCATGTTTCAGCTAAAATAGTCACACTTTGCTGTCCTTCAGAAGAACATGACAGCCACTATTAAATCTCTCAGAAAAGCTGAACATATATGTTCATATTGAATCATATTTAAGCATATTACTATTATAAATCCAAGGGGGTAAAACAGGTAATATTAGGTAATATTCCTTACCACTGCCCCTGGGCAGGGACACCCCAGACAAGGCTTCCAATACGGAGCTTTTCCCAGAGCTCTGGTCCCCAATCACAGCAATGGCCGGCAGCGATAGGTCCCTTTCAATGCCAGTCATTCTCAGGGAGTCCACCAGATCGATGTAAGGTCGGACCCGCTCTTCCAGTTGGCCGTGAACCACTCCTTCCATTTGCTTGATAGAATAGCTACAAAATAAAGTTGCACATTTCCTTATTAAGATCTTCCCTGTAGCCCATTAATCAAAGATATTCTTTGAAAGCATGAAGCTGTACCTTTCTTCATTCGGGGGGCTGACATCATCAAGGCTTTCCAAAGAATTGTGCATTTCATCAGGAAAGCTGAAGAAAAAAAAAACAAATGCTGATTTTGCATCCATCCATTTTCAATGTACTGCTGAAAGTCATAGTTATTTCTGGCTGTTTACTGTTTTATAAATACTGCATCAAATCAGTATCACTCTGAAAAAGTAGCAGCTCACAGAGTCTTAAATCAAAAGTTCACTCAAAGCATAATTCTTTGAAGGTATAGTTTGAAGTAACAGAAGTAAATAGTTCTGTTTTTCTCAATAACGAAGGTCTGAGATCTCTTACCTCACCTGCTGAGGATCAGCAGCAAGTAGCCGGAGCTCAGTTGGTGTTGTAGTCATGGTGTAGAAGTAATGTAGAATGTACGGACATGTCAGGCCTCTCAATATAAGGCAGGCCATTGGGGAAGTAGGAAAATCCTGGTGCTGGGGAGCACATAACTGTATTTTCTAAATTTCACAACTACATATTTCTTACAAAAGAGTTATTCTACAGATAAAAGAGAAACCACTTCCTTAAAATTCTGTGTGACACAACAATCGCAGTTGACAGAGTGAAATGAAAAATAAATGTAAAAACAAATGAGCAACTTTCCACTTTCCTGTAACATGACACCCATCATGTCAGAAGGAACTAAAGTAACAATAACAGAAATGAACAGGATTGTGAGGGATTCACACCTGGGAGAAAGAGGAAGGCAGGAAACGGAAAAAGCAGGGCTACAATGTGAATGACTGATCTGGGTACACTGCACCGGAAGGCACTTAAATATAA